AAACCATACATAGTTTTAGGCGAGGTATGATAAAGCTCTATGTAGCAGGGAGAGAGAGGACCTAGTAGCAATCAGTGAAGAGGCGGGGCCAGGAGCTATGACTCGACCCCTGCAACCACAAATAGGTGAGTACAAATAGGTGAGTACACAGGACCAGGATAATGTATGATCAGACAATAAACTATACCCTAGTTCACCATTATATTTTTACTTTAAACTTGATGTGTGAGTCTCAGACTTACAATATGTAAGTGAAGACAAAGAATGGACATCTTAACATAAAAATTTGTAGCTTCTAATTTTTGTAGTAGTAATGGTGGAATGATAAGAATGATTTTAGACTGAGAGCAAGTGTGAAGTAATCACAGATTAAGAACATTGGAAGGTATGATGTACGAAGATAAATGTAATAAGGTAATCTTTAAGATAACTGGTACACATAAAACAAGGTATTATCCCTGAATGTTGAGAAAGATTCTATTACGTGTAACTGTTCCATTGACTCAGCACCAGACTTAGAAATAAAGCATAATAGTTACAGATGTTTAAAGGAATGAAGACAAACACAACATTGATATGCAAGGATAGCACATATAAAACCAAGGATTTGTACACAGAATTTGTTAAACATTAAAAGGACATAAAACGCATCAGGAAGGAGCAAAGTACTCACTCGTGATGAATGGTTTGAAAAACCGACAAGTTGAAGATTGAGACACTTATGCAGCATATGGGAATCTTTATTCAGGAAACGTTTCGCCACACAGTGGCTTCATCAGTCCAATACAAAGAGGAAGGCGTAAGGAGAGGAGGAGAATGAGGTAATCAGTCCCTCAACCTGGAGTCGATGTGTTCAGTCCATTCTACAAGATTGATGGACTGAACACATCGACTCCAGGTTGAGGGACTGATTACCTCATTCTCCTCCTCTCCTTACGCCTTCCTCTTTGTATTGGACTGATGAAGCCACTGTGTGGCGAAACGTTTCCTGAATAAAGATTCCCATATGCTGCATAAGTGTCTCAATCTTCAAAGTACTCACTCTCTGAAGGCTTCAGGATGAACTTGCCCTCAGCACGGGCAATGTCATGGGCCTTGGCTCCGGTATAGTACGTACTGACTGCTGTCATGACAATATTCACAGTACGATTTACCTCGCTCTTGTTCTGGAAGATAGTAATATCATATGAAGAGATCTTAGTGTCCTTGTGTTTTGGAAAATATTGTACGATTTACCTCGTACTGTCACATGCTGTAATCTTATTATTCTCGTGTTTTATAAATAAATATTGTAGAAGCGACCTACTGTATTAAACGTGACGTTCATATTACCGTACTCTGACGTTATATCTACCTATAACAAAATATTATATATCACTCGTGGTCAAAGAAATGGGGCTAACCTTTCCTTCCTGGAGTGTAGCTTCAGGAAGGTAATCAAGTTCGACTTTCTGGAATCTAACCTCATTACCTACCATTTCCCCGGTGCTCTGACTCCTATGGTAAGTGGCAGGTATAAAGATACCTCCTAACTGTTGAACAGGTGTCTTATCAACTTGTCGGTATTGTTTACCATTATCTTTGATGAAGATTGAGACACTTATGCAGATATGGGAATCTTTATTCAGGAAACGTTTCGCCACACAGTGGCTTCATCAGTCCAATACAAAGAGGAAGGCGTAAGGAGAGGAGGAGAATGAGGTAATCAGTCCTCAACCTGGAGTCGATGTGTTCAGTCCATCAATCTTGTAGAATGTACGTACATTCTACAAGATTGATGGACTGAACACATCGACTCCAGGTTGAGGGACTGATTACCTCATTCTCCTCCTCTCCTTACGCCTTCCTCTTTGTATTGGACTGATGAAGCCACTGTGTGGCGAAACGTTTCCTGAATAAAGATTCCCATATGCTGCATAAGTGTCTCAATCTTCAACTTGTCGGTTTTTCAAACCATTCATCACTACCATTATCATGTTGATAAGTGCTGTCAGTTGTCACTGAGAACATAGACAGGTGACGAGGAATGACATAGCACGCTCATGTTTCTAAAGCAATTCAGTGCTTCCAATTTAGGTTAAAATACCCAATTTGAAGCAATTATTAAGAGGGGTATAAATCTGAAACCCTTTCGCAAGAATTAAACTTAGATGGGGAAATATAATTACTCATTTTTTATATACTGAAATGCACACCTCAAGCGACATGCTCGATACGGGTTTAAGACACATATGCAACAGTTAGACAACTTTATTCCGAAACGTTTCGCCTACACAGTAGGCTTCTTCGTCGAATACAAAAAATAGGCAGGAACAGTAGAGATGTGAAGACGATGTAATCAGTCCATCCCCCTTTTGTAGTCGTAGAATTTGAGGTTGTCAGCCCCTCGGCCTGGAGAAGTTCAGTTCCATAGTCAGGAACTATCTATGGAACTTCTATGGAACTGAACTTCTCCAGGCCGAGGGACTGACAACCTCAAATTCTACGACTACAAGGGTGATGGACTGATTACATCGTCTTCACATCTCTACTGTTCTGCCTATTTTCTGTATTCGACTGAAGAAGCCTACTGTGAAAGGCGAAACGTTTCGGAATAAAGTTGTCTAACTTTTGCTTTTGTGAAAGTTAAGACACGTGTGCAAACATCTGGATATCTTTAATGTAGACGTTTCGCATCCAGTGGCTTTATCAATACAGATTCTAGGACATAATAGGAAGACATTTAGAACTATATACAACAGATGAGGTAATCAGTCCCTCGGCCTTGGAGTTAGTTTTTCACAGCATCGTGGTGGAGGAGAATCTGGAGCAAAGGCAAGAAGACTGCGTTTATATAGTCGTCAGTGGAAGGGAGGGCAGCAGACGAGGGCAGTCACATGTTGCATATGTGTCTTACCTAACCAACCTGTCGGTATTGTATACCATTTTGATGTTCATGCTCGATACAGTTCTCACCCCGAGATCTTTCTTTTTGGGGTGAGGTTTGTAGCCTTTGCCCCCTGAGCCTGTATTTCGTTTGCGGTCTTCTTCCCCACCCCGAAATTTTCATAACTTGGAATTTACTGCAGCCTAGTGTTAGACCAGAATTGCAGCCTATCTACATAAACCATACCCCGGCCGGGATTGAAACCCGCGTCATAGAGTCTCAAAACTCCAGCCTGTCGCGCTAGCCACTAGACCAGCCAGCCACATACATTTGTCGTCTTCCTGATCTTCACCTGTTTATATTCTATTCTCCTCGTTAGTTTCACATTGTCTGCATTGTCGTGGAGTGGGGGGGGGCTGGGTTTGATTTGTGTCAAGGGGTGGGGGAGTTGTTTTTTGAGTAGCTTTGGGTAGATGTCGTTTTGATAAGGACCTGCCTCGTATGGGCCAGTAGGCCTTCTGCAGTGTTCCTACATTCTTATGTTCTTATGGCCTGCGTTATGTTTGTGAAATGTTTTTGTAGGAAACATTGGGTGTATCCATGTACTGTATATTGAAAGTACGAGTTTTGTTGCGTACTGTGTGTTGTATTTTGGGTGTATGAGATCTCAGGTGTATACACTATGTTACGAGTCCTTACCACTGCCTTGACGGTGATGGAGAAGTCGTTGCCAATGGGGACTCTCTCAACATCGTCGATAGTGAATTCGACGTCTTCCATGGCCTCCGAAGGGAAGCGGAAGCATGACGTGCAGCACGGGACCTGCGAAGTTGGCTGGGTTGGGTTTAAGATTGGGCGGATACGATTTTTAGCATTTGTTTTAGAAAATAGTAAGACCATGTGCAACGTTGAGTATATTGTTGACTGAAACGTTTCGTCTCCCGGGTAGGCTCTTCGGTCAGATGCAGAGGAAAGGCAGGCGTGGTGCGAAAAAATTTCAGTCCATCAGTCTTTTCAAGAATGATGGACTGATTACATCGACTCAAGGCTGAGGAACTGATTACCTCAAACTCCTCCTGTTCTTCACCATTCTCATTTGTATGGACTGATGAAGCCACTGTGGGGCCAAACGTTTCCTCATTAAAGGTACCCAAGTGTTGCACATGTGTCTAATTCATCGTTCTGAACCTAACAAGTGTTGTCAGGGTTGAAGTGCCACTTACCGCCTGGCAGCAGCATGGAGTGTCACCCTTTCTTCGCGACTTCCTTCAGGGGCCTTGTAGTCACTAGTACATTCTTCTTTGTCTTTTTCATAAATTCGACCGTCATCTACTGGACCAATTTTTGGTCAGCACTTGTCGACCCACCTAGAACAAGGAATTTCTTTTTTTGTAAACACACGCTTATAAAATGTAAAATTAGGCATATGAAGTATTTAAAAGAGAATATAATTGAAAGGGGATGCTGACTTGAAGTAATATGGACTATTGCAAATGGGTCAACCCCTGATCTTTTTTTTTCGATTTACTTATAGCTCTTCCTCTCCCTCCACTGTTTATCCCCTGTGGGTGAGTTGTCTAGTCTAGGGAAGACTTGTCAAAAAACACAGAGTAAAAAACTATAATGAAGGAAATACACATGAAGTTTAAGTTGAAATAGTTAACAGTAATGTTTTTATAACTGCAGTTAGGTTATGCATACTGGTATAAACTGAAGTGAGTCTTTTAACACTGTTGTAATGTAATTACAGTTAAGTTATCCATACTGAGTTTTTATCTGAGGTGAGTTTTTTGAATCCATCCTCAGCCTCCTTGTCCACCTTCCGCGGACACGTCAGCGTTCACCTCAGCCAGGACAAAGGGGAACATCATACTTGAGTCCATCGGGGCTCGGCGTACAGCTTCCAGGGAAGCAGGCCCACACTGGAACACTCCTGCCAAAAAATAATGTAAGTCGTGTAATAGCAGTTTCAATTATACTAAGGCAATTAATTTACCTCTACTGATCAAAAAATGATCTTAAGGTACTTGTTCGTTATCGGTCTCGTGGTTATTTTTAAACCTTAATGGAATTTCCCCACCTGCTTTTGGCTGCACTATCAAGCAACCCGACTCTACAGAGAAGCTCTTTCCGACCGCGCACTGGAATCCATTACTTTCCCTGGATTGTCTTTTATTTCAGTGAAAATAAATCTTTTTTTTTGAGGCTACTGTAAAAATTTAAAAGAGTAGTCTGTTCAAAGTGTCTATTTAACTAACTAAAAGTTGTTGTAATAGTTTTTCACCCACCATCACTGGTCTCCTGCGGGGTGGCATCAATAGCCTGCCACCCACCATAGCCTGGAGGCAGGTCAGGTCGAGTCATCCACACATCATTCCACACATGGGAAATTCCAGATCGAGTCATTAACCCAGCAGCATTGATGTCATAGCCACGTCCTTGCTGGAAGGGTTATGGGAAGATAAATTTGACAAAACCCACTGAATGTACTGAGTACTTCTGTCTGCCTTCCTCTCTCCTTCACTGCCTGCCTCCCTATCCCCTAACTGGGTACCTGTCTGCTTTCTCCTTCACTGCTACGTTACTGCCTCCTGCCCAGCAGAACCTTAGGTGGGCTTTCTAATACCAACACTACTGTATATCGCCAGTAAATTTCGGCTGTGTTGCTGCTTATTCTATGTCTCGGTAGGCTTGTAAGTTAGTTCTACTCACTGGCAACCATGCACGAGAGCCTGATAAAGCAAGTAACAGCCAGTTTATCGTCGATACAAGACAAGCTACAAAACTGATTTTATGAAAAAAATTTGAAAACAATATGAATATTTTCCTTTGGTTTATGTAAATTGGATTATTTATAATTAATAAAATTGGAGAAGAATTTAATGATACATTAAACAAGTAATAAATCTTAATTCTTGGATGGAGTATTAGGTGTGTTTTACAGCCGGGTGTTGTCCGTGTGAGTGAGGTGTAGCTGTGTTGTGGGATGTGATGGTGAGGTGAGTCTTGGCCCTTTATATGCCTTCCTTTTATGTATTGTTTTTATAGGGTTTCCCTTTTTAATGTGAGAAGTCACGAAAGCGCTTGTTTTTTCACTATTCTTTCACAGTGGTTGTTTTGTAATGTATATATATATATATATATTATATATATATATATATTTTATATATATATATATATATATATATATTTTATAGATAGATAGATATAGAAAAGATATAGAAAAAAATACGTCCAGTTTTTTTCCTGCACACTGCCACAGAACACATATTAAGTGTCTTTTTACGAAGATAAAAACATTAAATAATAATATTAAGGAAGGATGTACTCTACTATAGAGTAAATTACTCTAAATCTTTGCCATCAATCGCCCAAAATATTCGTCGATGGTGAGAGAGACGTTAGTGTCATGGGCTGAATTGAGGTTGGTTTACTACACGTGAGGGCAGACCCAGGGCACGACACACTGCAATAATAATGCCAGACAAATTAATAAATGGCTTAGAAAACCGACAAGAGAAAAATGATATCCAAATGCTGCCGTATCTCAATTATCAATACAAGAGACGAATACAAATCACGTTACTGTGGTTCAAGCTCTTTAAAATTTAAAAATTTGACAACTCTGACAGAACGACCCCATAATATTAAAGTTCCCCTGGATCATCATTGCTGATAAACTATAATGGTTTGGGACTGACTAAAGCGTCTCCCAATTTGCCGGCAAGTCGTGGAAAACACTGAAAATGGGGCTAAAAATAATGATTTACAAATAAACAGAAAGATGGACGATAGGCTCCAACTGTGGTCCCGAAAGTGACTGTCCAAGCCTCCCGTCCATCTCTGTTTATTCACTGACAGCCGTTTATTACTATTTAATCTGGGTTCATAATGACATCAGTCTGGTGGGAGGTAAGGCCTAATGGGTGTCACCACGGTAAATGTATTACTATGCTTGGATTTATTGGGTCATCCTAGTTCTAATTTTTCCCAGAGGATAGCCCCTTCAACTACAGAACACGTTAAAATGTTGTGACATATTTCATACCACGTACGTAAATAGTTTAATAAACTTATTGTTCTTGATAGTTTGCAGCTCCATACCTGTGTTACAACACCAAGGAAACCTACCTGTGTTAACAACACAACGAAGACATGGGGTTAAAAAAACCCAAGGAAGACCTACCTGTGTTAACAACAAACCCAAAGGAAGGCTTACCTGTGTTAACAACACCAACGAAGACCTGCCTGTGTTAAAACACCAACGAAGACATGTGTAAACAACAACAAAATAAGACCTACCTTGTTAACAACACCAGAAATACCCAGCACTGGCCGTACTTCCCCGGGGCGGTGGAAGCGACTACCTCTAAGTCTTGAGGATCCAGTCCATCCACTTGGTGATGTCCGTCATCATCTTTCCATCCCATCTCCCTACACACCAGCGTCGTCATTACTGTTAACCGGAGACAAGGAGAAAGTAGTCCCGCTGCCACATTTCCTTTGAATCGTAAAGAATTACACCTCTAGAAATGCTGAATGTATGGTTCTATAAGAATTTATTGTTGATATTGAGGACTAATGCAATTGCTGAACTGTGAGATATTACAATTTTGAGTATTGCTGATTTTGAAGAAAAGGTAAAAAACTTAAGTACTGAGGAATTTTTAAGTTTATCAAAATTTTTACTTCAAGAAACCCCGCTTAGAGTTTTTAAAAACCCAAGCTTCAAGATCACCTATTATCAGGATCTTAGATACCTTGGTAAGTACTCACACCCCCAAAGGTCATATGTACTCACGATCTTTGTAATAGCTTGGGACAGGTGGGGTCACCCTGGACTCAGTCTCAACCTGATCTCTCCAGCAGATAATACAAAGGGAGCACCAGTCTCAAACGAACCGAATTCCAGTGTCTGCCCTGGCAGTAGGGTAGCTACCCCGCCAGATCTGCCGAAGGCGAGAAATACACTATTAACAATTGACCAAGAATACTTATGGTATAATTTTTTGGTAATAATTACCTGTAAGTGCTGTGTAAAAAATAATACACGAAGGTAAACGTTTCGCTCCTGGGACCTTGAAACATGGGCCTGGGCCTTGATCACGGTCCCAGGGCGAATCGTTTTTTCTATCCTGGCGTCTGCTCACGTTTCCTTTTCCAGCGATTCTTATAGCCTAACTTACCAATAAAATAAAAGAAAAGACCTGTGGTGTTAAACCAGCAAAAGACCTACTTGTGTTAACCAACCCAAGCAAAAACAAATTTAACAATACCCGAAAAAAGACTTGTGTTAGAATCAGAAAAAGGCCTACTGTGTTAACAAAAACAAAAGAATTTGCCTTACTGGAAATCAGGATCCCCATTGAAAAACCATTAAACCCCGGGTATAGCCGACTCTCTATCCGGGTTCCTTCCCCGCCCATGGGTTATTTGTATCTTAAAAAACACAACACGACCTGTGTTAAAAACAGGTAGATCTAATAAAACTAGCAAATTTTAACATTATGTATATCTTACCTACTTACGATCACTAATAACTTAACAATATTGCCAGTAAGTTTCCCATACAACTATCACAGATAAGTTACTCTTGCCAAGCAGGCAAGTTATTATTGTTAAAAAGTTATTAATGACAGTAGGGGAGTAATGGGTATTCTCACCCTTATCAATAATACCGATAACGTCCCTACTTACCATCACTAACCTAACTTGCTTACATAAATAATAACTACCAGTTAACCTGGAGTTTACCTGGAGAGAGTTCCGGGGGTCAACGCCCCCGCGGCCCGGTCTGCGACCAGGCCTCCTGGTGGATCAGAGCCTGATCAACCAGGCTGTTACTGCTGGCTGCACGCAAATCAACGTACGAGCCACAGCCCGGCTGGTCGGACCAAAAC